CCTCAAATGTAATATAACAGGTGCATAGACTCTAAAAATGTTGAAAACCACTGTCTTTCATAAAGCTTCTGTAGCCTAGATTTATGCCCCAATCTAAAAAGAGCAATGACTTTTGTGGCAGAGGAAAAAGAGTATGTTATCTCAATCCCAAGGCTATTCAAGGCTCTACCAAAGCCAACAATCCCTCATTAAGGAGATCTTTGAGGCCTGCAGCACCTTTCCCTTCCTTTCCAGAACTTAGCTTTCCCACGACCTCCACCTGTGATGCCCATTTTAACATCTCTTAAACCCCACTATTTCATCTGCTTTCTTACATATCCAGAGGGGCACCTTGTGGCCTCAGGGGGCAAAATACACATTTTCTGTTATCCTCAGTATCCAACCATAGCTGTTCCCTTCTAAGACAAACCCCTTCCCTGTGCTCCCGCTTGCCACAAGTAATTAATGTGTACCCAGCTGTCAGACATCACTGCTGACTACATCTGTATCGTTGCATGGGCACAAAAGTGCAAAATGAACAGACACCAGGCATTTACAGCATGTCTTTGACTACCCAATGTACAAGATACACACTCTCTCATCAGCAATGCTCACAGAGCTAGGTCAACAGATAAGCTGGTAGGGATGCCACATGCCATGCAAATCACAAAACTATACTTGCTTGTCCCTATTCCCAACTCACTCAGAACTTCATCCTACTGGGGCTAATATAACTGCATGGAGTTTTAATCAGTTCTCCAGTAATTCATGCCAGACCAGATAAGAAATTGTTGCCTTTTTGATCCTTGGCCTCAGGTGCAGAAATGCTTCTAAGAGCTGTCAGTCTCCCTTGCCCAAAGGCATGAGCTACCCAAAAAATGTTTCTAATCAATTAATTTATCCTAAAGTAAAGGTCTGTCTCTCAGTGCCCCAGCAGTTGGATCATTGCCACCAGGTCCCACAGGGGAAACTGCATCCCCTTCAGCATCAGCTTCCCCACTAAGGCATTTCCCCCCAGCACGTGAGTGACTGCATAGCACAATCAAAACTATGAACTTTTCATCAGCTAAATCAGCTCCGTCTGGAATAGGCCTAACACTGGCTGCCTGTCTTCCTCTTGGAGAGTGCCATTCCATCACTGCTAGCCTCCTGCCTTTCCTGTCTAGAAACATGAATTCTACCATGTGATGATCATGTTCTCTTTTGTTGTTCTTCCCCACATTTTCATCAAGTCTCCCCCACCATGAGATCTCTTGCCTCCTCTGGTTGTGCCATTCTTCTGGTGTGGTAGAGGCAAGGAAGAAAGAGATGGAGGGGAAATGGGGGAATTGCCCACCACCTTTATCTTCACAGCTTGATGTCAGTGCCCTATGACAGGAGAATAGCATGTATAGTGCCTATTTTTTTAAAAAAGGGACAAAAAAGTGGTCCAGGTACAGGCCTGTCACCTTACTTCAACAGTAGCTAAGGTCTTAGAGCAGATCCTAAAGAATAGTCATAAGACATAAGGAGTAAAAAAAAAAAAAAAAATTAAACAAAAAATGTTTTGCCAGCTTTTGATCAAAGCATTTGATAAGAGCATGATAGTGCCAGACTAATGTCTAATTACATTTAATGTCTAATTTAATGGCAAGGACACTTCTTGGTTAAGAAGAATGCAGGGCACTCATTTATTTAGACTTAATTTAAGTTTTTGATATTATGTCTTGTGGGAAAATAGTTGCTAGCATGGTGAGGTGGGGACCAGTGCTACTGCTGTGAGGTGAGTAAGGCACTGGCTCAAAGGGAGACTCCAGCTGACTACCCTGAAAAAGTAAACTGTGTAACTGGAGAACATTTGCCAGTGCTGTTCTATAGGGATTGGTCCTGGATGACTCCTGTTTATCATTTTTATTAGGTACCTCCATACTGGAACTAGATGCATCTTGGTAAAATTGGGAGGGGGCATTGCCAATGCAGAAGAGGACCAGATCATTATACAAGATGTAGATAATCTTTTGCATAGAGCATGAAAAGTGGAATGACGCTTAATAACCCGAAGTGCAAAGTCATGTACTTAAGGATCAATTATAAGTACTGGCAGTAAAATGGGGGTGCAGAGATTGAAGTCAACAAGGGAAGATAGCAATCTGGGTGTACTGGTTGATTGCAAGATGACTGAACTGCCAGTTTGACATACCTATGAAAAAATGCCAGTGCAATCCCTAGGATTTGTTATGTTGGTAGATTTACTAGAGACAAGGGGGCACTAATAGAATGTAATGGTAAGACCCCATTCAGAAGAACCCAGTGAGCAGTTCTGGTTGCCAGTGTTCCAAATGGATAAGCTTAAACTGGAATGGATACAAAGAAGGGCCACTAAGATGGTTAAGGACTTTTTCTTATGAAAACATAGAAGAGCTTGGCTTGTTGAATTTAAAATGGAGATTGAGAGGATATCTGATCATCACCCTTTCTTTACAAATACCTTCACAGGGGGAATACTGGGGAAGGAGAAAAGCATTTTCAACTGAACAGCCCCCCTCCCTCCCACCCCCATTGGCTAAGAGCTGGCTATGTAAAAATTTAGAAATTATCTTCTAATTTCCCATTTCTAGTCTACCTAGCAGCATCATGAAGCTTTGGAATGGTCTCCTGAGCTGAGCAGTGGGGGCAAAGAACCTGAACTCAGTAAGATCATGGAAGGGAGGGAATGACAGGACAGAGATTCTTGGTTCAACAACCCTTTTTTACTATGTGGTAAGTGTCTGGCAATATCATGCTACGGGGCGTTTGCTGGTTGCCTGTAGAAGCAAGGAAGGAAACTTTTTTCTTCTCTCAAATGAGTGACTTCTGGAGGAAGAGGGGACTGCATACCTCTTAAGGATTTTGGCTACAGCAAAGGCCAGGGTACACTGATGTACAGGGTAAACTGCCACTTAAAAAACCTAAGCTTCCTGGCTGGAGCACCTTGGTCTTCTTCCGAGGATCACAAGTAATCAAATTTGTGGTCAGGAAGAAAACCTCTTCCTAAGTCAAAATAACAAGGACTGTGCGATTTTTTAAAATATTCTTCTGCAGAAAAGGAGGGGATGGTCCTCTTTCTAGAATCTTCTCAGCAGATACTAACCATTTCCCTGCAAGTGCAGTGGCAGGATGCTGGCAGGTGTCTCCTTCAGTTCTGCCTGTGGCATGCTGTAGGGCAGTTTTGGTGCTTCTGGTATTGTGCCACAGACTTCTGTATGACAATTTGAAGTGGCAATTTTGGGAATTCTGAAGGCAACCAACTGCTTATGAACCCAGGGGACTGTTCTCTATGGCCCAGGAAAGGCCCCCTCCAATCTGACATTTGCAAGGTGATCTGTTGCAGCGGTGAGTTGTACCTGCTCTGTCCTGCAGCAAATACAAGCTAACCTCCAAGAAGTTATCAGTTATTTCATTCTGAAGTAAGCTGCCTTGGTGCAGCTTAGAACAGGAGCAGACATGCAGAATGATTACAACAGCTGAGCTGACACATTCAAGAGCAGTAAATCCCCTCTCCTGCCCCCTTTTAGATCAGTACAATCGTTTCATCTGTGTACAACCTGAAACAACTTGCCCTGCTCCATGCCTGTTTCCAGCTCTGTAAAGCAAGATAACAGTACTGTCACTATCAGACTCACCCTCTCAGAAATGATGGCTTCATTTTTTGAAGCCAAAGATTTTAAGAGCTGCTTAAGTATTTTCAATGGCTCCAGGTACACCATCATCCTTCTCAGTTTCTCGAGGTAACTCATTTTCTCTACAAGAGACAGCTCCAGGGGACCTGTATCAGACCAGAAGAACGTACTCTGTTCAGCAATCTTGGCAATCTTAATAGGAAAGTTGGCCTTTCCTCCAACACTGTTAGAAACCAGAGAATGGAACAAGCTTGCAATGTGGATCCCAGCCACTTGCTCCACTGCTATACAACACTGCACAATCCTCAATTCACAGACAATAAAAGAGCTTCTGTCTCTGCTCCAGTGTGTGCAGTAAGGGGAAAAAAAACAACAAGAAAAGGAAGTCAGACTGGCTCAGAAGGAGACTGTGGCTTATGTCCTTGAAGATAGGGGATAGAAGTGACAAGAAATAATGTCCAGAGTGTATTCTACACGATTCCTTTATGGCTAGCTAGAACATAGAAATCCAGACACACTTTCCAGCTCCAGAATGCTGCTAGACAAAATAAGCTTTTCTACCATGTTGGAAACCACCCACATCATCTTCCTCCTGCAAAGAGGAGGAACAAACCACCTACAGTAGTTGGGAAGAGAGAGAGAGTTACTCAAGATCAACCAAAGGTAGGGCTTTGAATGAGGAGACCTGTAGCAGAGTTGAAGTAACTGGTACTTGGCGCAAGCTGTATATACTTCTTTCCCAGACCTGTGGAACGGCACTCTGTGCCCAAAGGTTTGTCTAACCTCTTACCCAATTATTAAGTTGATTTAATAAAAGTGATCACCTAACAAATGTGTCTGCTGCAGACCTCGCTTTTCCAACAGAAAACCAATACAGAACACAGAGGTTTGCACACACAGATTCCTCAAGGGATGTGCCTCTATTCCTTACTATTGAAACAGCAATCACCAAATCCCAAACCTGGAAGAATGTGGCTTATTATAGCCAAGACACTGTAGACTACTTACTGCAGCCATGATCACTTGGGCATCAACAAGCAGCAAAGCCAAAAAAATTTGCAGCTGCAGACTAACCTTCACGGTCTTGGGACAGACACCCTTTCTGGCTGGTTAATAAATCTGGTGCAACCCATAAGGAGCACAACCTCATGCACTTCTCTTAACAGATGCATCTCTTGCAAGCTAAGGTGGGGCTGAAGGAATCACATCAGTTTTATTTTGAAGTTTTATACCTAGGCTGTATTAGACCAAGGCGTATAAACTGGGGTACAGGAGAACTGCCATTGGTAGTGAACATTATACACCGAGCTTTGAGTTTTGGTGAGGAGAGAGCTCAGAAACCCTCAGCTAATAAAGCCCATCAATAAAATGCATGAGAGGCACTAAAGCAAGGGGGTACTTAGACCTTTATTTTATCCTTTGTGTATTTTGGCATTTAAGGGCACACAAGAAGAATGCTACTTATGGCCCACCTTATTTCCTGCACAGCTTCCTCTTCTAGGAAGGTGGAGAGAGAAAAAGAAGTCCACCCAGGATACACAAAGCCACACATACACACAAGCCCCCCTCCCCTTCCAGACAAAGGGGGTGGCATCATTACACCAAGCAGCAAAGCACTAGGGGCTACGTGTGTCTTGAGGTGGTGGAGGGGCAATGAAGAGACACTCTATATAGAAATTTAAATCCATTCCCACACCCCTGTCCACTTATGTCCATAGGGGCCCCAGCTCCCCCCTACCCCCATTTATTAGGTCATGGAATCCAGGCCCCAGTTTTGCAGCAGTGGCATAAATGGAGACACAGAGGTGGAGGGGGAGAGGATGAATGTGCCCTGATTCTCTGTACTTATCCTGACCATCTCCCCCTGCTCGTGCTGTCAGTTTGCTCCCCCTCCCCACGCTGCAGGAGTGTGTCCTAGCTGGGGATCCTCTGGTAGAAGTAGATGTACCCAAGATCCTTGGGGGGTTTCTCAGAGGCGCACACTTTCTGGTCATTGAAAATCACCCACCTAGAAACATAAATAGAAGGAGAACTTAAGAAAGACAAGTTACGTGAGCCTGTCCATCCCAGGTTCCAGTGTCCCATTCCCATCTCCTAGGCAGCATGATGGCCCTGTCCCTTTCCTGTCCTTCTCTGGTGACAAAGGCCACTTCCTCTCTGGAAGACTAGGCCACCAACACATAAATCTGGTTCTTTTACAACTCTCTTGCCTCCTCAAGGCTGCTCTTACCTGCCATCTTTCTTTATGTGACAGACATAGTGGCCACACATGGTGGAAGTGCCCATGTGGCTGACGAAGGCAAATAGCTGATACTCTGAGGAAGTAAAGGGGAAAAAGGTGATTTGACAGAGAAAGGAGAGAGGGATTACATACCCCAAGACTATCATGCAGCCATCTCTAGAGAAGAGCTTTTGTCCCAAGACTCCTTGGAGAGACCATTAAGCATCCTTGACACTGAGGAATACTTGGAAGCCAGAATGCATCATAGCTGAGGATGGGACTGATGTAGAACTAGATGACCTCAAAGACTGGGGGGAGGGGGGAGAGAAGAACTCTTGCAAAATCCCCTGCCTGCCTTCTCCTTGTACCCAATGTGTGTGGCAGGTGGAGGAGGGGAAACCCATAAAGTAGACCTGGCTCACACATGTGCTATAATGACTTGGATTCTCCACCCAGCACAGAAAGTAACAGTTTAGTAGCCTGGGCATTAATCCCTCTAAGATTTAGCTACTAGAACTCAAGTTCTGATGGTGACGGAAGAACAGCAGCCTCCAAGGCAATTAAGAGGAGAATTGGGGGAAGGAAACAGAACCCTCCTCACCTCCTTTTCACTAGATACCACATTCCTTTGCCTTTCACTCATCCTTCTGATGATTCCCAGACTATGGGAAATAGGCCCCATGTCCCACTGGGCACAGACCCGCTCTTTCCACCATGCTGCCTCCCTCAACAGCCAGATAGACTCCTAAGTGCTAGAACCTCAGACAGAGTAAAGCCTGAGGGTTAGAGAAGAGCTGAGAGGAAGGAGAGTTAAACCCCATGGTCAGAGACCAAACACCGAATTCCAGCTTCTAAGCAAGGGAACTCTCCCCACAGAGCCAAGGAAGGAAACAGCCATGTCCTTGCATCTGGGACTCACTTCCAGGTCCATCACGCACTTTGGGGCCCACAGGAACCGATTCGGAGATTGACTCAGCTGCTGAACGCCCTTCTGAGATATCCATGGCAGCCTCTGCATCCAGGTCATCAATGTGACTGAAGATCCAGTCCACAGCACGCTCCAGACTGTTATTCTGCAGCAAACAGGGAGAGACTGAGACATCTAGAACCCCTCACCTTTCCGAGTCCCTCCTCCTTCAAGCATACTATCCCACTCACAGCCACAAAAGACTAGGATGTAGCAATTCAGAGGGACTGTCCCACTATGATCGCATCCTTGCCCCTCACCGTGGCTCTAAGTGCTTTCATAGCCTGGTCCCGGGAGAAGCCCATGGAGACAATGGTGGCCACGCTGTCTTCTGAAGGGGGGTCTGGACAGATGATGGTGGAGCCTGGTCCACTGGATCCAGGAAGAACCAGAGGGTTGGCAAAATCTGAAGCAAGAAACAGAGCATAAAACTTGAGTGGCTTGTATTTTAAGGCCTAACCTACTGCTGGGAGAGGCTGTAATGTGCACCACATTGACCCAGGGGTGAAGGCTTCATTGTGATCATATGTTCTCATACCTGGATCATCCATGTGTGACATGACCCAGTTCATGGCAGCTTCAACCCCACTGTTCCCTGTGTAGTAAACGGCTTTGCGGCAGGCATCCATGGGAAAGCCCATCTCTACTAGCTGGATAATTACTGACTCATCCAACATGGGGGCTGTGAGGAAACAAAAAGATCAGAGCTCTCCTACTGACCCCCACCCCTTCGTGTGGGAGAGAACAAGCAGGGCACACACACAATATTGTCCATATCTCCTGCCTGACCATGGCAACTTCCCACATTAACCTTTTCTCACCTTCTACAGAGCTCTGGGGAAAAGTGTTTTTTCCTCTACAGCACACAAGCCTCCATTCACAAGGCATCTGCAGGGCATGGAGGGGCACAGTTCCCCAGCCAGGTGCTGCCCACTGAGCCCTGGCTCCTCCTACCCAAGCTCCACCATTAATGCAACAAAACCCCTCTCCTTTGTGTGAGTCCCGACATCTGGAAAGGCACTGGGCATATCCCAAATCTCTCTCCTCCTTGGCCCAACCCTCCATAAGCTCGGTGCAAAAAAGACTGTTGGAGTTGCCAATATCCTTGCCTAACGAGCATGCAAGGTGACAGCTAGCAGCCAGGTGGCAGAGGGACAGGAAGACAGAAACTGAGCAGGAGGAGGAAATTGCTAGCATGGGAAATAAGACACAAGGAGAGCGAGGGAGCGAATCAAGCATTAGGAGGAAAGGAGAAGAGTCACTAACATGTCGGAGAGGAGAAGTGAGGGGAGCAGAAGGAGTCGTCGTCCTCGTTGCCATAGAACCCCAGGCTACCTTTGGGCTCATCTGGTGTCACCAGTGGGGGTGCTATATCCGGCATCTCCTCTTCACCGTCCTGTAGACCCGTCCCCTGCAGTGCAGAGATGTCCAGCTCCTCTGGCATTTCAATGGAGACATCTGTAAGAGAGATCCTGGATTAGACCCTGTCTGATGAGTTCAAACAAAACACAAAGATGAGATTCACAAAAGTTCACAAGTTACCTGGAGTAGGGAATTCACTAAGGCAAGGGTGGGCAAAATATGGTCTGCGGGCTGGATCCTGCCCACCAATTGATTCTCTTTGGCCTGCAGTTGCTCCTCTGAAGGAAAACTGTATCTGGCCTGCAGCTGCCCTGGCTTTCAGCACCTCTCACCCTTTTCCCTTCCCCATACCATAGGTAGCTACAGCAGCAGCAGCAGCTCCAGTTCCAGTGGCCAGGCAGCCACTCTCCTCAGCTGCCTGCCCCACTTCCCAGCCCACAGGGTATACTCCAAGGTAGGGGGTGATGAGATCCTGTCCAGACTTCTGTACAGCTCCAACCCTGTGGCTGTTTGCAGACCAAACAGGCCGGCCCCTGGCAAATTGAAGCTCAGGTAAGGTTCCTCCCACAGTCAGGGGAGGGGGTGTAGAGGGAAGAGAACCAGGAGCTGCAGGTCATCTGGGCTCTGCTGAGCTGGGACCTGGTAGGGGTGTGGGCACTACTAACACGGTGCTGTGCTGTGTTCCTGCATGCTGCTTTGGGTCATGCCACATGGGTGCAGCTAGTGCGGTTCCTGCCCAACCTTGAGCCCCTAGTATATGGCTGGGTCAAGTAGGAGCTGCACCAGCTGCTCTACCTGCACCCAGGTGGCCCAAAGCAGTACACTAGAACACAGTGGCACCAGCCAAGCCTGGCCCAGCTGTGTACTGAGGACTCAGGGCAGGGGAGGGGGTGCAAGGAGAGCTCCAGGGAGCTTGTGCATCTATGGGGCCCTCAACAGCTCATGAAAACTTGTTAGAGTGGCCCTGCAGCCCAAATACTTGACCATACCTGCACTAAGGCATTTTGTTACAGCGACACTCCCCCACCCCGTACTGACCCCAATATAGCATCCTACTGGGGTAAAAATGAGGATGGAGGACTTGGCTTTCACATCACCTCATACTTCTTACCAAGCTTTTTGGGCACCCAATCCAGGCCAAAAGTGAATTTCTTGATTTGGATCACCAGGTAGTCTGGGAAGGAGGCAAACCGTGTTGTCCTGAAAGACAGAGATATCTCTGGACATGTTCCCCTTCATTCTGTTAAGTGGGGTTGACGGTAAGGGGAGACTGGCTGGTTCGAGAAGAAACTGAGGCACAATATGCACATCCGCTGTAATCTGTGTAACATTAAGGAGATGCCACTATGTTGAGCTCTAGGCACTGCACACAGGAACACTCTCAGGAGGTAACACTTTGAACGAGAACTTGCTACAGCATTTCCAAAACTCTTAGGATGGAGACACTCTTTAGAAGAATAATACAGATTCCTTTCAACCATGTCATGTGTCAGGTCCCAATTTATAGAATCTGAACTGAGCAATAATTTAAAATGCATCCTTCCATGTTTATTTTAAAGGAATGTTTATTCACCACAGGATGTTAGGAAATATTTGAATATAACCATTATTCAAAACTAAAGTAGAATGTTAGCTGAAAGAAGCATTACTAGCTTTATTTCTTCAAAGCAGTTATTGCTACAGGAAAATACATGTTTCCCTAACAACATCCCTTCCATGGGCTTAGTTCATTCCATAATGGCAAGATCTTCCAAAAAACAGCACTTTCTTGACCCACTCTAGCTGCTATACCACAGGGGCAGATGCCAGATTTATGAAGTGTGCTGCCTCAATAATTACTTTCTCAGCAGTACTCATGGCTACTCCTTCTAGAACAGTGGGCTCACCTGAGGCTATGCTGTTTTTCATAACCTTTGTTTCTGACTTATTGAATTAGTGTTCTAACTAGATTACTAGAGGGTTCTTTGCACCTGACTCCTTGTTTGGAGAAGGAATGTCAGTGGCACTAAACAGATCCTCCATTCAGATTACACAGATCTTTCTTATGCTAGTTCATTATGATACATGTTTTTACAGTGAAACAGTTAAAGCTGACATTTAAAAAGCATCTTCACTGGTATCTGAGTTAGCATCCACTGAATACCAGATGGCTTCTACATCAGAGCTCTGGGTTCAGACTCTGCCAACACAAGCAGATACTGATACACTGAACATAGGAATTGCCATTTACTGTATGAAACCATAGGTCTATGTGACATGGGATACTGGGCAAGATAGTGGCAGAAGGTGGATACTGAAAGGGAGAGAGAACAGGATATGAGCAGGGTTTTTCCCCCCCGTTCCTCTCCCGCTTGCAGGCTCCAGCATTTAAGGTCTAGGGAGTTCCAATTCAGACACTGTACCCCTAATACCTGCGCTCAATAGCTACTAATGCACCTTTCCTCCAAGAATTTGTTCAATCCCTTTTTGAACCTGGCTAAACTGTCTGCTTCCACAACATCTTGCAGCAAAGAGTTCCAATCTTTAATGGCATGCTGCATGGAAAAAAAAAAGGTTGCTTTTGTTTCCTTCTATGACCCCTAGTTTTTGTATTGTGAGATGGTAAATAAATCTCCAATTATTTTTTTTACAACATAGTATTTTGTAAACATTTATCATGTCCTCCCTCAATCCTCTTTTCTAAACTAAATAGACCTAGCTTCTTCAGTCTCTTCTCATATGGAAGCTCTTCTATACCACTAATTTGCCTTGTTGTCTCTCTCTGTATCTTCTCAAGTTCTTCTCATCATCAGGGATCCGGGTTTTCTGTTTGCCATAGAAAAATGGAATAAACCACGGATTTTACTTTTTACTGGAGGTAAATGAGGATTTCACATTTTACCAGAGAAACCCATGAATTTTGCAGTTTTGCTATGAGCCTCTGCAGGCTGGCAAGAGTTCCAGCCTGCAGGGACGAAGCATCTAAATGCACATGGCCCCACACAGCCTGGAGAATAGCTCCCACAGGCAAGTGGGGAGGAAGGGGGGAAATTGAGGCCCCCATAGGGAACGAGGGAGTTGGGCAGGGCAGGGCACTGCCCAGCTGAGCAGTGCCTGGAGCTTGGGACTTAGGGCTGCAATGTGTGGCCACAGGGCCCCAGAGGGGAGTGGGACAGGCCACGGGTGGCCCATCTAGGGGACAGTGGGGATCTGTGCCCCCCAGATCTGTGCACAGGGTGGGGGGCTGTGCGCTGCCTGCTTCAGGCTCGGGCTCTCGCCCTGCTGCCCTGCGGCCTCTGCGCCCAGCGTGCATGATCTGGTGCTCCAGGGTACAGCAGAGCTGCACAAGAAAGTTACCTGCCACTTTTTGCTCCACAGTGCCCAGGCCCCTGCATGCAACTCCACGCCACCACCCCCACTGCACCCGCACAGGCAGGGGACAGTAGCGTGGAGCTCCTGCCCTGTGCACAGATCTGGGGGATGGGTCCTCCTGCCCCCCAGGAGTGCACACAGCAGAGGAGAGCCATCCTTCCACCCCCACCAAGCCCGCAGCAGGCAGGCGGTGGTGGGGGGTGGAAAAGGAAGGCAGGCTCTGCTGCAGCATTTGAAGACAGCCTTGAAGTGCTACTTGCTTCTGGAGTCTGGAGTCAGACATCCTGATGACATGGCTGACCCAGCAAAGTTAGTGTTGGATCATTGCCTCAGCAGGTGAGTTTATGATATTTGCTTGCAAGAGGATGCTAATATTGGTACATCTGTCTACCCACTGGATTCAAAGGAACTTCCACAGGCAGCATTGATGGTACTTCTCCAGCAACTTAAGGTGTCACCTGTATGCTGTCCATCTCTCAGCTCCATACAGTAAAGGTGGGGATTCATGACTACTCGATAAACCATGAGCTTGATTTTGGATCCACTATCTTCAAACACCCATTTTCTCAGGTGTCTGAAGGCTGCACTTACACATCTGAGATGATGTTCGATTTCTTCACTGATGCCAGCCTTCTGTGAGAGATGGCTTCCAAGGCACAAAAAACCTCAATTTTTCTCCAGTCTCACCGCGAATTCAAGTTACTGGAGCTGGGGACTACTCATTAAGAGCTTGTTGATGGAGGACCTTAGTCTTCTGAATGTTAAACATCAGTCCCATTTCCTTGTATGCCTCGGAAAAGTCATCAGTGATTGCCTGGAGGTCTGCTTCTGAGTAAGCACATGCTACAGAATAGTCAGCATACTGGAGCTTGATGACTGAGGGTGGGGTGGTCAGCTGAAATTAGCCATCCCATTTGGTAGTTTAGCTCCACTCAGACTGGTTAATGGTCAGATATTCATGGTCAGCTTGTTAATGGTCAGATGTAGCACTGTGGTAAGGGCCATCAACAAGAGCGTTGGAGTGATGATGCAGCCTTGCTTAACTCCTGTCTTAACCTCAAAGGGATCTGTAACAGACCCATTATTGAGAACCACTGCTGGCAGAGTCATGAAGCAGGCAAAGAATGGTGACAAATTTTGGAGGGCATCCATACTTCTAAAGAATGCTCCACAGTGCTTTTCAGCTGACAGAGTTGAAGGCTTTTGTGAGGTCAAAGAAAGCCATGTAGAGAGGTTTATTTTGTTCCTGGCATTTTTCCTGCAGTTGGCAAGCAGTGAAGATCATGTCAGTTGTGCCTCTTGATGCCCTAAACCCACACTCAGATTCCAGGAGCTCTTCAGTGAGTGGAAGGAGACTGCTCAGGAGGGTTCTTGTAATGATCTTTCCTGTGGTGGACAGCAATGTGATCCCTCTGTCATTTCCACAGTCAGACTAGTCTCCTTTTTTAAAGATCCTCACGGTCATGGTGTCCCTGAAGTCATCTGGGATTTCCTCCTCATTCCAAATCCTTAAAATGAGGGCAGAGGGCTGTAATGTGAGCTTCTCCCCCTCCTGCTTGAAGATTCCAGTGGGGATTCCACCCGCTTCAGATGCCTTGTCATTCTTCATCTGCTTGATGGCTTTCCTCACCTCATCAAGGGCTGGAAGGATTCCAAGATCATTTTTGACTGGGCGTTATGGGATGGAGTTGAGAACACCCTCGTCAACAATGGTCTCAATTGAAAAACTTTTTGAAATGCTCTTTCCAAAAGGCATGGATGGCTCCTTTTTCCTTGATTAGGTTTCCTCCATCCTTAGGGCTCAAGGGGGGTAGTACCCGAGTACTCTGACTCTAGACAGCTTTGGTGGCACTGAAAAAAACATGCATATTGTGGATGTCAACAAGATGCTAAATCTCCTTTGCCTTGTCTTCCCACCACGTTCTCCATATCGCAGGTGTTCCTTTGGACCCCCGCCTTGGCTTGCTGATGATTCAATTTTGTTTGCTTGTAATTGATATCTTTCTGGCAAGCACAAAAGGTCTTGCATTTGCAATTGATCAACTTTTGCATCTCTTGGTCATTCCCATCAAACCAGTCTTGATGTTTCTTGGTAGAGAAACCAAACATCTCTTCACAGGTGCTGATGCCAGTACACTTGAAGGCACCCAAGTGCTGCTGACATTCTCCCACTGTTGACTGAAATTTGCCAGTTTTCCATTGAGGCACTGGTGGTAAAGGTCTCATTTGATTGGGTCCTTGAGTACTTTGATGCTGATTGTCTTGTGGGCATTGCTTCTACCGCAGCTTTCATTTAGGAGCCAGTTTGAATAATATAACTGAGCAGATGAGTCTGTGATCAGTCCAGCAATAGTCACCTCCTAACACAGCTTGGGTGATGCAGACATCTTTGTGATCCCAGGCATAAACTATGAAGTCTTCCATGCAAATGGCTTTTCCAGCATATTCTAGTTCTTCTGTATCCTTTTTGAGGTGTGGGGACCAAAACTGGGCACAGTATTCAAGGTGCAGATGCACCATGTTTTTATAAAGGGGCACAGTGAACTTTCTGTTTTGTTCACAATTCCCTTAATAATCCCTAACATTGCAAGGTGGGGGGGGGGGCGGCACCAGATTGAGGCCCCCACAGTGAGGGAGGGAGTGGGGCAGGGCCTGGGGGTGTTGCCCAGCCAGGGTGGTACATGGGACTCGGGGCCGAGGCAGGGAGCAGGATGGAGCCACAGTCCAGGGAGCATGGGGGCAGCTCTCCGCCACTGCACACACCCCTTAGGGAGGGGGAATGTGGGTTGCCTGCTGTGGGCTTGGGGCTCTCCACTTTGCTTCCTTTCCCTTAGGAGCCCTACCCCCCT